CTTCATATGTCAGAAACAAGCGGGCAGGGAAGGGAAAATGTCATTCCTGACAAACACGGGTACCTGCAAAGCCAACCACCTACATAAACTTTGCCAGAGGTGACCCAAGAGACCAAGCAACTTGGAGGACGGGGGTAATCAAGCCCCAGAGGGAGGCAAGCCCCGAGATGAGCCACGGAGAGGTCAGGGAAAGCAGCTGAGAGGACTAAACTGAAGAGGGACACACATAGACTTCTCGCACAAGACTGCTGGGGGTGCTTAAGTGAGATGATGAAGCCCAGTGCCAGGCATATCGCAGGTGCTCAAGCAATGGTTTCTGGTGCTATATGGCTAAGTAAGCCACCAAGGGCTGGCTCCCCTCTCCCCACTATTTTACAGAGCAGAGCTTGCTGAGGTGTGAGTGCCTGGTTGCCCGCCTAGCCGACCAGTAAACCCGGTGAGGGCAGGAACTGTGCCTGGCTTGCTCACTCACTACAGCTGCCCAGCGCCCATCACAGAGCAGTGCTGCTGGTGTATCTTTGGATGGATGGGTGAGTGGATGTATGGATGGATGGATGGATGGATGGGGGAGTAAGTGGATGAGTGGGTGGGTGGATGGATGGGTGGGTGGGTGGATGGATGACCCATCATCTTCGACATCCCCTCCGTTCCTTCACCAACTCTCCCAGTTTGCCTGGGACCGAGGAGTTTCTCGGGATGCAGGACTCTCCGTGCTGAAACCAGGACAGTCTCGGGCAAACCGCACTGTGTCTGACAACTGTCTGACTAAAGCCACTAAACTCATCACTAAGAGATGAGTGATACTACTGACAAATGTTCAGGAAGAAAGGGGGCTAAGATAGGGACTGGACTCAGATCGGATGGCTCCTCCCTCCCCATCATCTAAGCCCGGGTCTTTCCAACGCCCTCCTTCTCAGACTCCGCCCCCTTCTGGGAAGGTCACCTTAGGAAGGCGGGAGGCCAATTGGGCATGCGCCGCGCACGCCGCAACTGCGCACGCTTGCGTTGGCTTTCTCCGCCTTCCCTCCTCCCACTCGGGAAACCGGAACCGCCTCCCAGTCGGCGGCTCCAACGCGGCCAGCGGGTCCTGGGGGACGCCGGGCCGGCGCCGCGGTGCTCGGCGGGACGACGGCGGAAAGCGACCTCGGGGTTAAGGGGTGGGGCGCGACGTCAGAAGCCAAGATGGCGACGGTGGTCGGACTCTCCTTGAAGCGCCGGTTCCCGCTTGCAACCGTTGGCGGAGCCTGCCTGCAGGTGAGGTGCGGAGCGGGAGGGAGAGGGCAGGCAGGAGAGTGATGGAGGCGGCCTGTTGCTGAGGGGGCCGTGGAGGAGGCCGAGAGAGCACAGCGCAAGGCCTCAGGGAAGGGAAGGGAAGGAATCGCTCCCACTGCGTAGTGCTCGGGTCTGGGCCTGGAGCATCCCTGTCCGTTATCCTTCTGCCCCTCGCAGCAGCTTGGGAGGTTATCAGGGCGGAGACGATTTTTTTTTTTTTTTTTAAGATAGGAAAAGTTCAGAGAGGGGTCTCGGGTTGCCCAAGGTCACATGGCAAGCGAGTAACACTGTTGGAAGCAGAATTCGAGTCCAAACCTTTGGGCTCCAAGCCACTTTTCACTGGGGCTGTTCCAGCACAGGAATAGGGCTCCTCTGAGACAGACCTGCGGGAGTGGGAGGGATGGGACCTGGGAAGCGAGGTCTCTCCTCCAGGATGCAAGATTGAGGGTTCCGTAAACGGGCTAGACCGGGATTGGGGAGGGCAGGGCAGGGGAAGGGAGAAATGGAGGCAGATCACTCTGTCTCCTGAAGGATCTGGACCCTTTCCCTAGTGGGGAGTTTGCGGGAAAGATGGGGTGCCTTGCAGCAGCGGCATCCTCTTAGTGGCCCTTTCTGTAAGGGGCTTACAACAATACCGAGCGCAGAGTTTTGGCACGGATCTCGTAGGTACAGAGCTTGGCTCTGCCCTTATGTATTGGTTTATATTATTCAATGTGCAGTGATACGTTTCCCCGCACCCCCCTCGTATTGTCAGGAAACCACACACTTCTAATCCACCTTGTAAATGGGAATATTTGTAAGGGGAAGGGAAATTGCCATTGCACACGTAAGGCACTAAGCACTTACGAATCCCTTTCAAATCTGTTTCCTCCTCTGGGCTCCTCAACAACCCCTGCAACGTGGGTGAATAGCAGTTCTTAGCTCCTTTTTAGAAGTTTGAAAACTGAGGCCCCGGAAAGAAAATTTTACTTGTTCAAAATATCATGGCCAAGAACCGGAAGATACGGGACCTAAATCCGTTATTTTTAACATAATATGAGAAAAACTCCTAGCACAGATGTGGGCACTGATGAACCAAGAATTAGTTCCTCTCCCCTTCTTGCGCTTACATGAGAATATCTCTCATTCTAAATATTGCTCTAGCCCTATAACAGTTTGTATGGCCTGTCTTCTGGTACTAGCTCTTTCCAATATGGTATATGTGAACTCGGACAAGTCATTTTATAGTCTTTCTGAAACGGGGAGATAGGGAAGGAGGACTGCCTACCAGAGCCTCAGGTTGGTGTCCTCTGAGCATTAAATTGATGACTAATAATGACCTTGTTTACCAGTTCCTTTTATAGTTGCTGAGGAAGCAATTAAGTTGTGAGAGCCCCACCAATGAGAGTGAGTTCCAAAGCTCAGGTCCCTCTTCTCTTCCATGAATGAGTTGAGGAGAAGGCTAGTTTCATAAGTCAGTTTCGTAATTCCAGGTGAGGCCGTTGCAGGGTTTCCTGAGGTCAGAGAAATAGGAGTCCCTCCTCTCCACCTCTTAGGAATCTGCATTCATTCCTGTAAAAGCCACCTCAAAAGAATCCAATAATGAGGGGCGTTTGGGTGGCTCAGTCATTAAGTGTCTGCCTTCAGTTCAGGTCAAGATCCCAGGGTCCTGGGATGGAGCCCCACAGCATCAGGCTCCCCTGCTTAGCAGGGAGTCTGCTTCTTCCTCTCCCCTCTACCTGCCACTCCCCCTGCTTGTGCTCGCATGTGCACGCTCTCTCTCTGTCAAATAAAGAAATCTCTAAAAAAAAAAAAGAATCCAATAATGAACTTGGTATATTATCTATGGGTAATATTCAGGTTCCTAGGACTCTAAGATATGGTAGGATTTCTCTTCTGAATTCCTTTTATGCATTAGTCTGCACCAGTGAACCATAGTTCTTGCCTACAGTGTTTGGCTGTAAGGTATTAATTGATTGTGTTGCCTTATTCGTCTAGGCTGTGAACAACGTTAGGGCAAGTACCGCCTTCTCTCATTTGTGTATCTCATTGCTCTTAGCACTGGAGGGTCTTAGGATACCTGTCTGCCAATCAGAATAATAGAGAAACTAGTGATATTGCCAGTGTTGGAAAGCAGAATTATTTTCTGGGCTATGCTAGTCGCTTGACCCTCCATTTTAATCTTAGGAGGTAGATATTAATATTACCTCCTCTTTTTTTTTAATTCTTTTTTTTTTTATATTTTATTTATTTATTCATGAGAGACAGAGGGGGAGAGAGAGGGAGAGAAGCAGAGGGAGAAGCAGGCTCCCAAGGAGCAGGGAGCCCGATGCGGGACTCGATCCCAGGACCCTGGGATCATGACCCGAGCCAAAGGCAGACGCTTAACCATCTGAGCCACCCAGGCACCCAATATTTCCTCCTCTTTATACAACAGAGGAGATAGAATCAGAGAGGTTAAGTAATTTGCCAAAGAACACACAACTACTAAGTGGTAGAGCTTGGATTTAAACCAGTGCCACTCACACATTTCAGAAACAAGTCTGCACTTTCCGTTTTACTCAGGTTTATAGAGACTCCTTTGCCTTCCACCTCTCCATTTCCACATCTTTCTCTCCTACCTCCAGATTTGTGTCCGTTCTGTTGAGCTCCAAGTCTGTTCCTTAAGGAAACTTTCCTAAAGAAATAACAGGGCCGGGGCACCTGGCTGGCTCGGTTGGTAGAGCATGCAACTCTTGATCTCAGGGTCATGAGTTCAAGGCCCACATTGGACTTAGAGCTTACTTAATTAAAAAAGGGGGGGAGCACCTGGGTGGCTCAGTCAGTTGAGCGTTGGACTCTTGGTTTCAGCTCAGGTCATGATCTCAGGGTCATGAGATGGAGCCCCACGTGGGGCTCTGCACTCAGCATTGAGTCTGCTTGAGGTTTTCTCCCCTCTGCCCCTCTCTGCACATTCTCTCTCTCTTTCTCTAAAATAAAATCTTAAAAAAAAAAAAAGAGCGCCTCAGATGGTTGGGCATCTGCCTTCAGCTCGGGTCATGATCCCGGGGTCCTGGAATTGAGTCCACATCAGGCTCTTGGCCCAGCGGGGAGCCTGCGTCTCCCTCTCCCTCTGCCTCTCCCCCTGCTCATGCTCTCTCTCTCTCTCTCTCTGTATCTCTCTGTCTCAAATGAATAAATAATTTTTAAAAATCTTAAAAAAAAGAAAGAATATTCTCCAAAGTTTGAATCTCAAATACACAACTTCCATCGAGTACATTTAAAGAAATTTGCTAGGGGTGCCTGACTGGCTCAGTCAGTAGAGCATGTGGCTCTTGATCTCAGCGTCATGAGTTCAAGCCCCACATTGGGCATAGAGAAACAAAACAAAACAAAACCCTTACAAGGTCCTACGTGATCTGGCTCTCCTGCTGACTTTCTAATTTCCTTCCCCATTCCTGTCCCTCTCACTCACTCCATTCTCAACAACATTGACCACCTTGTTGCTCCTCAAACACGTGTCCACCTCAAAATTTGTGCTGAGTGTCTCATCTGCCCAGTTTGCTCTTCCCCTAGGTACAGGCATGGCTTGCTCGCTCACCTCCTTCGGGTCTTGCTCAACTGTCAACCTTTTCAGTGAAGTCTTCCCTGGCCACCCCATTTAGAATTGTAGAATTATAGCCAGGACCCCCCCCCCCCCCCCCCCAGGTCCTCCCCCCCCCACCCCATTGCACCTATCCCCTGGGCCCACATAGTATCGATGTTATTTGTGTGTGCCTCCAGCCACTGTAAGCTCCACAAGGATCAGAATCTACGTGTATTTTGCCCTTGATCTCCAGGGCCTAGAACAGTCCTGGAACATAGAAGCCACTCTGTAATATTTATTGAACAAATAAACAAATAAATAGGCCTGGGCTAGCTACTACCTAAGATCTTGCTAATTGTATGAGTTGAGTGTTCTTAGGTTTGTTTGTGAAAAGGAATTATCTTTTTGTGCTGTTCTGTTTTGGATTTGCATTTTCGCCACAGACAGAATAGATAAAGGGTCGAACTTTGCAGTCAAATGACCCATGTTTGAATCCTGGCTCTTTTGTTGTATGATTTTTACTTTCATTTTTTAACTGAGAATAATAAAACTTCCCATTGTTGTAAAGATTAGAGACAACTTAGTACAGCATTTCACACATGGTAAGGGCTCAGTGAATGGAAGTTTTGTTTTTGTTTTTTGGGGGATTTTTTTCATTTTTTTTTTTTTTACTTCTGGGACACCTGTGTAACAAATTTTCAGATTTCTCTATTGCACGAATTTATTTGTTCTTATCGCAGCTGCCATATTCCTCTGGATTAACTCTTAGTGCAGCCCTCAAGTGAACCACTCCTTCACTTAGAACCACAGCCTCCTCTGGTAATTTTGATTTCCGTATCTTCTCTCCTCCTTCCTGTTAACCCTCCCCCCCATCCCACCAAGTGTTGTATAAAATATACAAAATGAATTTAAATTAGTTGTTTAGAAAAAATTAGTAACACTTTGGGGTACCCCAAAACTTATGTTAGGGCTCATTGCCTTATAGTACTCTGTTGTGATTCACCCCTGCATTGTTTTTGTCTCACATCATTCGTAGGATAAGAATTTAAATGATCTGTAAAAAACCTAATCACATTTGGGGAGATCTGCATGAGCAAGTGTAGACCTTTGTATTTTTGTAGAGTGGCTATGAAGCGACATAGGTCTTAGGAAGAGGTCTTAAGGTGAGGACCTGTGGCAGGTGGTGGCCGTCACCTTCAATAAGCCTTTGTGGGAGTGAGACCGAGCTTCCTGGGACTGGATTTTTTTGCCTTCTGATGGAACTATTAAGGCAGCCTTCGCTACCATGGAACTAGAGTTGGCAACAGCAAAGTCCCAGGTTCTTTTGAAAGTCCAAGCTTTACTAATGTTTTGGCCAAAAAAAAAAAAAAATTGAAGAAGTTATGTTTTAAAGGCATTTTGTCCCTCTCTCTTCTAGCACCTACCACAGGCAAGGCAGCCACCCACCCAGCTGTCACATAACCCAGCAGTTACCTTCCTGGGCATTTATCCCAGAGAGATGGAAGCATGTTCACAAATATTCATTGTAACTTCATTCATTGTAGCCAAAAACTGGAAACAACCCAGATGTCCTTCAGTGGGAGAGTGGCTACACAAACTGGAGTCCATCATACCATGAAACACTACTCAGTAGTAAAAAGAAACACTACTTGGATGAATCTCCAGAGAATTATGCTGAATAAAGAAAAGCCAATCCCAAAAGGTTACATACTAGATGATCCCATTTATATATATGTGTGTGTGTATATATGTGTGTGTGTGTGTGTGTGTGTGTATCTTGAAATGACAAAATTACGGGAATAGAGACGGATTAGTGATGGCTAGTAAGGGAGGGAGGCAGGGGTGGGGTGTGGCTTTGATAAGAGCAATACTGGGGTTCTTTGTGGGGATGGGCATGGTCTGTGTCTTGACCGTACCAGTGTTGATGTTCTGGTTGTGGGATTGTGCTATAGTTTTGGACAGTGTTTTCACAGGAGGAAATTGAGTAAAGGATATGAGAGATCTCATTATTATTTCTTATAAATGCATGTGATTTGGTATCTCAAAATGAAGTTTAATTTTTTTAAAAAGCAACAAACTGTGGATATATACAACACTGTGAATGAATCCCAGAAGTATTATGTCGAGTGAAAGAAGCTAGACCCAAGTCCGATTGCATTTATATGAAATTCTGTAAAAGGCAAATCTGTAGTGATAGAAAGCACAGCAGTTACAAGGGTTAGGGAGAGGGCACTGATTGTAAATTTAGGAACACTAGAGAACTTTCTAGATGGAAATGTTCTGTCATAATTATGGTAGGAGTTACACTTCTTTGTTAAAACTCATCAAACTATACACTTAAAATTGGTGAGTTTTATTGTAATGAATTATACGTCATTAAATCTCACCAAACCAAGGTGGGGGCAGTTAGCAAGCAGAAGGCTGCGGGAGCAAATCATCTTCCGTGATCTTTTCACTTCGTCCACTTTGTCTTAAATGCCACAAGGTGGCGGTAACCAAATGTTCCTGCTGTTTTACAAAATGGAGTTCCTAGGGGGTGCCTGGCTGGCTCAGTCGCTAGAGGGAGCGACTCTTGATCTCCAGGTCATGAGTTCAAGCCCCACGTAGAGCTTAAAAATAAATAAAATAGAATGGAATAGAATAGAATCCTGCCTTTAATTCTTAAAAAAAAAAAGGTGGAGTCCCTAATGGAAGATGTTCCTTTTACTGCTGACCCTAGCCAGATTGGTAATAAAGGAAAATACCACTTCACCTTCATTCTCATCTTCTCTCTGTATTTCCTTTTCTCATACTGAGATCTGATGTTTATATTTTCAGCCTCACTTAATTCAGGACACTTTGTGCCGGCAAGTATGACAATCACATTTCTTGTAGTTACACAATTAACCTTCCCAGTTTTTCATCTTTTTTTACCAGTTTATAAGAGAACCAGCTGGCCTGGGAGATAGGCTGCATGTGTCTGCATACAAACTGGGGGCTCAGCTGCTCGTTGCTGTTTGGACTGACAGGACCCCCACTCTGCCCCTCGGATGGGGCCCAGGGGACTTGGTGTGGCCTCCACCTGGTGTCCTCCTCCTGGATAGAAGAGTTTCAAGAGCTGTGGGTTGGGGACAGCATGTTTGCGTTAATCTAATGCTCAAGTTTTGCTTTTTTCATTTTTCCCTTTTTAAATTTTATTTTAAATTCAGTATAATTTTTTGCATTTTTCTTCAATTTTTCTTAACTATAAATTGAATTGCTGTGCACAAAGGCCTGGACCAGGTACGCTGGGAGATGTAAAATGTAACCTGTTCCATGCTGTGAGTGGTTAATTTTATGTGTCAGCTGGGCCACAGGGTGACCAGGTAGTTTGGTCCAGCACTCTGGGTATTTCTGTGATGGTGTTTTTGGGTGAGTTTAACGTTTAAATCAATAGACCAGGGCGCCTGGGTGGCTCAGTCAGTTAAGCAACTGCCTTCAGCTCAGGTCATGAGCCAGGGTCCTGGGATCGAGCCCCGCATCGGGCTCCCTGCTCCGCGGGAGGCCTGCTTCTCCCTCTACCCCTGCTTGTGTCCCCTCTCTCGCAGTGTCTCTGTCAAATAAATAAATAAAATCTTTAAAAAAAAAAAAGAAAGAACCAAGAAGAGACCTGCAAATATTCACAAATAAATAGGATAGTACAGTGTTTAGGAACATGGGTTCTGGAGTCAGGCAGACTTGGGTTCCAGTCGTGGCTCCTCTCATCAGCTCATCATAAAGAGTGGTTTTAAAAATGAGTATGAATTTAAATATGAAACTTTTGAGCAATAGCAACCTTTTTGCAAATCTGTTCTTAGGGGGAAGCTGTTCCGGTGAAGGAGGGAAGGAATCAGAGACCAGACCTCTTCACTCTCCCTCTCATAGCAGCCCCTGCAGTGGCACTCCAGGGTTCTGAGCTCACGGTGTGAGCTGGCAGAGACGGAATACCCAGGAGCTGATGATAGAATCATCCTAGAGAACAGGACTCAGCTGTTTGTTAGTTCCCTAAATGTAGTCTCTTCTTTCCTGCTACAGTGCTGTGAACTGAATGCGTTCCCCCAGAATTCATACGTGGAAACCCCAGCCCCCATTGTGATGGTGCTTGAAGATGGAGCCTGTGAGAGGGAATTAGGGTTAGATGAGGTCAGGAGGGTGGGGCCCTTACAAAAAGAGGAAAAGACAGGAGATCTCTCTCTCTGCCACATGAGGGCATAGCAAGAAAGCAGCCATCTGTAAACCAAAAAGAGAGTCCTCACCAGACACCAAGTCTGCCTGACACCTTGATCTTGGACCTCCCAGCCTCCAGAACTGTGAGAAACAGATGTTGTTTAAGCCACCCAGTCTTTGGTGTCTTGTTACAGCAGGCCAGGCTGACTGAGACACCTAATCTAGAAGCACCAGCATCTCCTTACAACAACTACAGTAGCTTTCTGCTAGTTTCTCCACATGTTGTTTGACAGTTCTTCCTTCAACCAGTGATATTCTTCTCAAAAATAAAGAATGATTATGTCTCCCACCTGATAATTTGTGCTAGCCTCTCATTGCTCTTAGGATAAAATCGAAATCTTGACTTGCTCACATCTGCCACTTCCATCCTTACTCAGGCCTCCCTCACTCACACTGGACTTCTCTCGGTTCTCCCAGATGTGCTGTGCTCTCCCCAATTGGGCCTCCACACGTGTTGTCCCCTCAGTTTATACATCCCTCCTTCCCCTGATCCCCACGTACCGAGCCACAGCTTGAATATCCTTTATGGGGCCTTCCCTGATCTCTTGTACTAGTGTAAGTCTCTGTTGTGTTCTTCCCTCTTTATACTTTATTATGAATATTTAATTTCTCTTGCCGGGGCGCCGGGGTGGCTCAGTCAGTTGAGCATCTGCCTTCGGCTCAGGTCATGATTCCAGGGTCCTGGGATCAAGGCCGGCATCAGACGCCTTACTCAGCGGGGAGCCTGCTTCTCCTTCTTCTGCCTGCCACTCCCCCTGCTTGTGCACTCAGCTTGTTCTCTATCAAATAAATAAAAATCTTTTTATAGGGGTGCCTGGGTGGCTCAGTCGTTAAGCATCTGCCTTCAGCTCAGGTCATGATCCCAGGGTCCTGGGATCGAGCCCCGCATCGGGCTCCCTGCTCCACAGGAAGCCTGCTTCTCCCTTTCCCACTCCACCTGCTTGTGTCCCTCTCTCACTGTGTCTCTCTCTGTCAAATAAATAAATAAAATCTTAATAAATAAATAAATTTCTCTCTTGCTCATACAAAGTAGATTCTGTGAGGGCAAAGACTTTGTTTCATTATGTGCTATTTCACCCGCCCCCAGTACCATATCTGGTATGTGCTAGGTGCTTAGTATTTGTTGGATATCAAATGACTGCCTTTCTCAGGAAGACTGTCAGGAGGCACCTTGGTGGCTCAGTCGGTTAGGCATCCCAACTTGATTTCCGCTCAGCTTGTGGTATCCGGGTTGTGAGATTGGAGCCTTGCCATGGGCTCTGAACTCAGCAGAGAGTCCGCTTTAGACTCTCCCTCTGCCCCTCCCGGCTCCGTGCGCTCACGTGCTCCACTCTAAAATAAATAAATCTTGGGGCGTCTGGGTGGCTCAGTCATCAAGCATCTGCCTTCAGCTCGGGTCGTGATCCCAGGGTCCTGGGATCGGGCCCCGCATCGGGCTCCCTGCTAGGCAGAAAGCCTGCTTCTCCTTCTCCCACTCCCCGTGCTTGTGTTGCTGCTCTTGCTATCTCTCTCTCTCTCTATCAAATAAAACCTTTTAAAAATTAATTAGTTAATTCTTTAAAAAAAAAAAGACTGTGTGTCAGTAATGTGTGGGTTTGTATCCAGTGTGGTAGTTTATAGTGCCAGCTAAACAGGAGGATTTATTTTGCATTTTTAATATTTTTTTCCTTTCTTGTGAATTTTTTCAATTTCAGGCCTGCCGGGGGGCACAGACAGCTGCCGCCGCAGCTCCCCGAATCAAGAAATTTGCCATCTACCGTTGGGACCCAGACAAGACTGGAGATAAACCTCATATGCAAACTTACGAAATTGATTTGAATAAGTGAGTATCTATGTGAGAGCTAGGTATTTGATAAGTGAAAGTGTACTCTTGATCTGATTCAGGGACATGCTTTTCACATCCTTGGAAGGTTTTTTTTTTTTTTTTTTTTTTTTTAAGGATTTTATTTACTTATTTGATAGAGAGAAAGTGCATGCACAAGCAGGGGGAGCGACAGGCAGAGAGAGAGAGAGGGAGAAGCAGGCTCCCAAGGAGCAGGGAGCCCGATGCGGGACTCGATCCCAGGGCCCTGGGATCATGACCTGAGCCGAAGGCAGTCGCTTAACCAGCTGAGCCACCCAGGCGCCCACATCCTTGGAAGGTTTAAAAACAGATCATTCAGTGGCTCTGGAATTTAAATCTCTTTTTCAAACAAGAATGAAGTATGTACCTGATTCAAAAAGATAACCGGGGGCACCTGGGTAGCTCCGTCAGTTAAGCATCTGACGCTTGGTTTCAGCTTGGGTCTTGATCTCAGGGTTTTGAGTTCAGTCCCCATGTTGGGCTCCCCTCTGGGCGTGGAGCCTACTTAAAAAAAAAAAAAAAGACTAATACCAAGAAGATTAACTTTTGAGAAATTCCTTTCCTTTTCCCAAATCAGAGGATGACAAATTTCTAGGAGTATTGGTAGAGCTGGATAGACACCATAAATGTGGCAGGAATGGTGATAGGACAAGATAGGGGTGTAGTTAAAATATTAACAAAGATTCGTACCGCTATTATCTCCTAGTTGTGCAGGTTAGAAGTCTGGTAAAAGTTTCATCAGACTAAAATCGAGGTGTCAGCAGGCCATGTTCCTTTCTGGAGACTAAGGGGAAATCCATTTTCTATTCCTTTGGGCTGTTGGCAGAATTCAGTTCCTTACAGTTGCAAAACCAAGGTTCCTATTTCCTTGTTGGCTGTAAGCTGAGGGCCACTCCCAGCTTTTAGAGGCCTCTGGGCTCTGTGGCTCATAGTCCCCACCTTCAAAGGCAGCAACAGCAGCTTGAGTCCTTCATCTCTCTCTGAGCCACTCTTCTTTCATCAGCTTCCACCCTGAAGGATCTCCACAGGTAGCCAAAGGGAAGGAAGCATCTGGTGAGCTGGGCTCCAGCTTCCCACTGTGCCACCCCTGCCCTCCCCAGCATAACCAGAACTGCTCTATTTTGTGATCTGTTTTATTTGTCAGTGAATAAGTATTTTATTTCTTTTGAACAAAAGCTTCCATAGTGCCAAAAAAAAGGTTTGAAAACTACTACTCTCAATGCTTTCTTTGACTCTGTATTGACACATAAGTTCTATTAAGCAATATAGCTAGTTGATATATAACGTTCTTGTCAAGGAGACAATTACAAACAGCAACCAGAAATCATTAGTAATATTCAAAGAAAAGGAAATTGTACAGGCCACACTTGATTTTGGTTCAGGTCATGATCTTGGGGATGTGGGATCGAGCCCCGTGTCAGGCTCCATGCTCTGCGCAGTCTGCTTGAGATTTTCTCCCTCTGCCTCTTTCCCCTGCTCGTGGGTGCCTACAGTAGATTAGATAGATAGATAGATAGATAGATAGATAGATAGAAGAAAGAAAAAGAAAGAAAAGGAAGGAAGGAAAGAAAGAAAGTCAGTCTTCAAAACAAAATCAGGGGCATCTGGCTGGCTCAGTTGGTAGAGCATGCAACTCTTGATCTCAGGGTTGTGACTTCAAGCCCCATGTTGGGCATGGAGCCTACTTAAATTAAAAACTATTTTAAAAATCCATGCTCTCCAGAGAGAGAATAAAATCCAGAGTTTCTACATCATGTTATTCACGAGGACCAACGTACAGTCCAGCATCACTAATCATACCAAGAAGAGTGAAACATGACCCAAACTCAAGTGGAAAGACAAATAGTAAAATAGTAAAATGAGAGACCCAAATCCAACCACATCAATAATTACACCATGTAAAGGCACTAAACACTCCAATTAAAAGGCAAAGATTGTCAAAATAGATAAAAAGCAAAACCCAGTTTCATGCTGCTTACAAGAAATGCACTTTAAATATTGTTAAAAACAAAATTCAAGTAAGTAAATTCTTTTTAAGAGTTTATTTATTTGACAGAGACACAACGAGAGAGGGAACACAAGCAGGGAGAATGGGAGAGGGAAACAGGCTTCCTGCTGAGCAGGGAGCCCGAGCGGGGCTCGATCCCAGGACCCTGGGATCATGACCTGACCTGAACGCGGACGCTTAATGACTGAGCCACCCAGGCGCCACGCAACTAAGTAAATTTTAAAGATTTTACTGGCTTTATGTAACCATTCCTGAATCAGGCAGCATCTAATCTACCAGATAGATTAGATGCTGCCAGGTGCCAAGGGGCACCCCGTGGTTCATACAGTTAAGCATCCAGCTCTTGATCTCAGCTCAGGTTTGATCTCAGGGTTGTGGTTGGAGTCTACTTTAAACAAAAAAAAAGGTGGGGCACCTGGGCGGCTCAGTCAATTAAGCGTCTGCCTTCGGCTCGGGTCATGATCCCAGAGTCCTGGGATCGAGCCCCACATTGAGCTCCCTGCTCAGCGGGAAGCCTGCTTCTCCCTCTCTCGCTCCCCCTGCTTATGTTCCCTCTCTGTGTCTCTCTCTGTCAAATAAATAAAATCTTAAAAAAAAAAAAAAAAGAAAAAGGAGCTCCACAGAGCTGCACAAAATGAAAGACTTATAGGCAGACAGGAGTGGGAAGAAAGACCAAAAAAGCATATTGGTTATGGCAAGGTCACTTTCCTTTACAGAATGGCAAAATCAATTAGGCAAATGCCTAACTAGGTGATTCCTAATTGACTGGTTTTAAATTACATTTCTGGAAGAACCAAAACTGAAGGTAAGTCTCAGTTTGACATGAGGCTTGGCATAAGTGACTCCATTTGGGGCCTATTGTTTTGTTTTTAACAAAATAAAGACACAGGTTGAAAATAAAAGATATCCATAAAAACTGCATAAGCATAAGAAAGGTAGAGTGGCTATTGTAAAATCAGATGACTAAAAGGCAAAGAATATGCCAGAAATAAGAGGACATTTCATAATGATAAAGGGACCATTTTATCAGGAAGACATGTCAGTCATAAATGTATATACACCTAATAACAGAGCTTCAAAGTTGGCAGAATTGAAGAATTTCAAGAATTAAGGAACAAACATCTGCAGTCCTTTCAGCAATGGGTAGAACAATTAAGGAGTAAAGACATAAATAATCTGAACATTATCAATCATCTTGCTCTAATTAGTGTTTTTGAGACATCACACCAAATGGTTGCAAAACACGTTCAAGTGTGCATGCTACGTTCATTGTGATAACTGGGCCGTAAAACAAATCAAATAAATTCCAAAAACTTGGGATCTTCTAGCGTGAATTCAAATAGAGAGCAGTAACAGTAGGACATCTGAGAGAGACACAGCCCTTAAAATATGATGTAGGAGTGCTTGGGTGGCTCAGTTGGTTGAGCATCCGACTCTTGGTTTCGCTCAGGTAATGATCTCAGGGTCCTGGGCTGGAGCCCCACATTGGACTCCGTGCTGGGCATGGAGCTTGCTTGCGATGCTCTCACTCTACCCCCCCCATTCCCTTTCTCAAAAAATTAATTAATTAATTAATTTTAAAGATGTAAAAACTAGAAGAAAATTCTGTGTATTCATGAAACCTCAGGAAGGGTTGTGGTCTTTTTAGATTTAACAGTGATAGTATCATAAGAGGAAAAGGTAGTTTAATTATGTAAGTATTTAAATCTGTGTTTTAAAAAATTCCATTACCCAAGGGGCGCCTTGGTGGCTCAGTCAGTTAAGCATCTGTCTTCGGCCCAGGTCATGGTCCCAGGGTCCTGGAATCGAGTCCTGCATCGGGCTCCCTGCTCAGTGGGGAGTCTGCTTCTCCCTCTCCGTCTGCTGCTCCCCTTGCTTGTGCTCTGTCAAACAAATAAATAAAATCTTTAAAAAAAAAATTCCATTACTCAGATTAGAAGTCAAATAGCCTAAGTTGCTGATTGAGGGCTGCGAGTGGGGAAGGGGCAGGGTTAGCATCAAATATAATAGATTTGTGGTATATATTTTGGTGTTGTCCAGGGCTTTTCTGGCTCCTAAAACCCTCGTAATCCTCCTAAAATCCTTGTAATCCTAAGAGATAAGAGCTACAGGGTCATCTTTTATTATAATATTTTGGTTTTGCTCCTAGTTCCTAAAATAGCTCCAGATAAATAATAAAGGTAAAATGGGTAGCCTTTTTTTTTTTAATTTTTTATTGTTATGTTAATCACCATGCATTACATCATTAGTTTTTGATGTAGTGTTCCATGATTCATTGTTTGTGCATAACACCCAGTGCTCCACGCAGAACGTGCCCTCTTTAATACCCATCGCCAGGTTAACCCATCCCCCCACCCCCCTCCCCTCTAGAACCCTCAGTTTTTCAGAGTCCATCGTCTCTCATGGTTCGTCTCCCCCTCCCATTTCCCCCCTTCATTCTTCCCCTCCTGCTATCTTCTTCTTTTTTTTTTCCTTAACATATATTGCATTATTTGTTTCAGAAGTACAGATCCGTGATTCATCAGTCTTGTACAATTCACAGCGCTCACCATAGCACATACCCTCCCCAATGTCTATCACCCAGCCACCCCTCCCTCCCACCCCCACCACTCCAGCAACCCTCAGTTTGTTTCCTGAGATTAAGAATTCCTCATATCAGTGAGGTCATATGATACATGTCTTTCTCTGATTGACTTATTTCGCACAGCATAACACCCTCCAGTTCATCCACCTCGTTGCAAATGGCAAGATTTTGTTCCTTTTGATGGCTGCATAATATTCCATTGTATATATACATGCCACATCTTTATCCATTCATCTGTTGATGGACATCTTGACTCTTTCCACAGTTTGGCTATTGTGGACATGGCTACTATAAACATCTGAGTGCATGTGCCCCTTCGGATCCCTACATCTGTATCTTTGGGGTAAATACCCAGTAGTGCAATTGCTGGATCTTACGGTAGCTCTATTTTCAACTTTTTGAGGAACCTCCATACTGTTGTCCAGAGTGGTTGCACCAGCTTGCATTCCCACCAACAGTGTAGGAGGGTTGCCCTTTCTCCGAATCCCTGCCAACATCTGTTGTTTCCTGACTTGTTAATTTTAGCCATTCTGACTGGTGTGAGGTGGTATCTCATTGAGGTTTTGATTTGTATTTCCCTGATGCCGAGCGATGTTGAGCACTTCTTCATGCGTCTGTTGGCCATTTAGATGTCTTCTTTGGAAAAATGTCTCTTCATGTCTTCTGCCCATTTCTTGATTGGATTATTCTTTGGGTGTTCAGTTTGATAAGTTCCTTAGAGATTTTAGATACTAGCCCTTTATCTGATATGTCATTTGCAAATATCTTCTCCCATTCTGTCCGTTGTCTTTTGGTTTTGTTGACTGTTTCTTTTGCTGTGCAAAAGCTTTTTATCTTGATGAAGTCCCAATAGTTCATCTTTGCCCTTGCTTCAAATGGGTAGTCTTTTGTTACTCATAAGAAGAGCCTTTCAGCCACCAGCCTTTATGTTAATGAGGTGATTTCTAGAAATCTCCTAGATAACTGGGAGAAACCCACCCTGTCTGGAAGTTTGGAACACAGAGCCCTACCCCTTGACCTGGGAGGGGAGAGAGATTAGAGGTGAATCACTTAAACCAGCAGCCAGTGTAATCAATCATGCCGAGGCCCTGAAGCCTCCTTAAAATCTGTGGAGTATGGGGTTCAGAGAGCTTAGGTGGGTGAACTCATGGAGGTGCAGGGAGAGGGCATGGCTCTGCTTCCCCTTCCCACATACCTGGCCCTGTGCATCTCTTCCATTTGGCTGTTCTACTAAATCATAGTCTAGTAAGTTAACTGTTTTTCTGAGTTCTGTGAGCCACTGTAGCAATTATCAAACCCATGGAGGGGATCATGAGAATCTCTGATTTATAGCCGGCCATCCGGAGCACAGGTGACAGCTAGGCTTGCAGGGTCTGAGGAGGGCGGGCAGTCTGTTGGACCGAGCCCCTCCCCTGTGGGACCTGAGGCTGTCTCTGGGTCAGTGGGCAGATTGAGTTATGATGTGGGACACCTGGCTGGTGTTGCAGGATTGCTCCGTCCTGGAAACTACGCATTTGGTGACCAGGAGTATCAGAAGTGAAGTATCGGGGGTGAGGAGGTGACAGGTTCCCAGCTTTAAGAAAATTTCCTTTAAAAAACATTCCTAAGATCTCATAAATAGAGAGGCAAAGAACACGGGTGGACAGAATCTGCAGCATTAGTCGACTAGAACAAACAGGCCATGCAGGCGTGGATTTTCATCTGTTCTCTGGTGCGCCTCCAGCACCCGGAGCAGAACCTGGCACAGAGCAGACTTTCAATAAACAGTTGATGAGTGCAGAAAAATCACTGATTTTATGACAAATATTCAGCCACTGTGATTTTCGGAGATCTCTGATTAAAACACTGACAATAGTAAAATTGTCAAAATAGCAGAGGTTTTTAAAGGTCACAGTTCCCAATATTAGCAAAGATAGGGCGGTGGGGTATTTGCACATTGCTGCTAGAAGACTGATAAGGCAGCATGTTAGCTAATCTCATCCTGGTGACATTTCATAGCATAGGTCAGGTTCTGTGCCACACTCTCATGCTGCACACCTTAAATCCACACCTTGTCCGTGATGTCTCAGTAAAGCCAGGAAAACAAATCTCGATCGTGCTAAAGGATGTTTGGGGAGGGGGCATATGTTTTTAAAGGCCATACGTAGAGAAGTACCAAGCGGCACGGGCAGCAGCCAGAAATAGATGTGTTGAGCACTGGGCTGTATACCAGCTGCCGTGGAAAGGGCAGGTTTTTAGTTCATCTTTGTAACAATCGTGTGCCATAAAGATCAGTTCCATTTTACGGATCAAGAAACAGGCTCAGAGAGCTTGAGCTATTCCAAAGAACTGCACTCTCTACACGATGATAATCGTGGTTAAACTAAGTGTATGTGGCGGATGCTCCCCACCTCATCTTCCCATGTGTCAGTTCACCCGCGGTAGTCCCGTGAGATGTAGCAGCTGCTCTGCACTTTGCAGGCGGGGGGCTGAGGAAGGGGTTTGCTCGAGGGTCCAAGCCAGGACTCTGACCTGCCTTCCGGACACCAGGCCTGCGCTCCACCTTCCAAGCCCAGTGCTACTACCCTTCCCCCCTCTGGCTGTCCCCACACGCATGGACTCATAGCGCTTTGGAGTGGGGCACTGTCTCTCCTGCAGCTTTCCTTTTCCTA